CTTAAAAATATCTCCCAGCCCTTACTTTTCTGAAGTGCCGCGCTGAGGCTACGCAGTGAGTAAAATTTTGCCATTTGCGGGGATCAGGTGAGGTGGGTGGATCTGGGTTTTGATTTTAGACGCTCCGAGATGCATTCTGCGAAATTCCTTGACTGAAAATTTAGATTCAGCATATATTCAGTATATATATATGCACTAACTAACGGTGAAATACTACCTTATCGCTGTTAGCAAGCAAATGGAACCTACAAGCATCATTTTAAACGGATAGCCGGCTTTCTGAGCAGGCCCCGACCACTATACACATACCCAGACCACCCCCTTCTAACACGTCCGCACGCATGCACACACGCACACACGCACGCACGCACGCACGCAGAAACCATATGTGTCAGCTGCACCACCTCATTATTTTGTCTATAGCCACAGTAATTGACCTTCTCATCCACATGTACATGTCATGCCCATCTCATCAACTGGAAGCTGTGTAATATTTGGTAATTCTGCCACTCACAGCTAATAACCAACATGAATAGGACCCAATAAGCAATGGGCTGCCTGATTTTTCTGATTATCTACATGATTACTTATCGGGCCCGATCAAGATTGCATAAATGATATTCGTGCTGAAGCCAAAAAAGGAGCGCAGCTCGGCAGCAATATACGCGCAGATGATGCTGTAGAACTGGAAATGAAGAACCCTGCAGCAGCAGCAGCAGCAGCAGGCACTTAATGTGCGCAGAGTTAATTCATTTACCACAAGGTGCTGACGTAGGCTGTGCAACTTTTACATGCACGCCACTGATCAATGCGTGAAGCCTGGTGTTATTTGCGGCCTGCCTTATCGCGACCACCTACTGCTGAGTTTTCTTCCTGCCTTTGATTCCACATTGTCCTGATCGCACATGACTACCTGCTGTCACGAGAGGCTCGGATGCGACAGAGAGATCTGCTGGAACTAGCTTCCACCTTGCGGTTTCCGAACGCAAGCAGTATAGCCACCATGTCTTTAATCCCAGCGAACACTACTCTAGCGCTAAAATTTATAGTGAACGTGTGTCGGCCTCTCGTCTATTCGCACGGTCACAGCCGCCAAGCCACACTGCGAGCCGTGACAAGTCACGGTATCCGTAGAAGACAGCCCCCGTCCCCATCGCACCCATCTATCTCGACATTACACGTTGCCAGCAGATTAAATCCACCGGCCCATCGCGAGGGCTTCATGTAGGTCGCTTATGAGATGTCGAGTAATTAACTGGCGATTGCATATGGGCCAAATTGTGTTTAGACCGTGAATAAACAGGCAAGTCATCGTGGGATGGCTGCAATTACTCCGGCGCGCACTGCAAACTCTCTCCTCTGTTTAAATTATCATCGCAATTGCACTTATTATTTACACTGCCTAATGCAGGCCAGTGATAATAATATGGCACTGGCACCAAAGGCACTGCGGCCAAGGAACGCTAGAAAAACATGCGCCGAGAAAGAACCAGAAGTCTGTTGCTGCTCATACATCCCTGCCCCCCACCCACCCCCAACACACACGCGCGCCCGCGTTTCGGTATATTTAACGCATGTTTGTTTTAAATTTACACTCTTAACTCCTGCATAATATTTGCTACGATTCATTTTCAATT